CTGGGTGGAAGACCACCCCTGAGAGGTGGGCGAATGGAAGGGGCTGCAGCCCCCTGGCAGCTCCTCTCCCTGTACCAGGCACAGGTACACCTGGCAGCCAGTGGCCCCCTTTGAACCAGCACCTCCTGCCTGGCCTCCATCCCTGTCATGGAAGCACCCCTCCTCTTCCCTCCCACCACCCCTGTGCCCCCAACAACCACACCCCATCCCTTCCCCCTGGCCCTGCCCCATCCCCTTGTGCAGTAACACCACCCCCTATTCCTTGGCTCGCAGACGTCCAGTGCAAGGCCGAGCAGGATGGGCAGCGGGTGAAGAAGTCCCGGAAGGGGCTGCAGCTGTACGACACCCCCTATGAGGAGCGGGAACGAGACGCCGAGGACAAGGGCCGCGAGAGCCGCCTGCCCCAGGACGACGAGCGGCCAGCAGACGAGTACGACCAGCCCTGGGAGTGGAAGAAGGACCACATTTCCCGGGCCTTTGCAGGTGCAAGGGGTAGGGGGAGCCCAGGGGGAGCAGTGGGGGACAGGTCTGGGGCTGGGGATGAGACTTCAAGCTCAACCCACCAGACGTGGGGTCCTGCCAGCAGGGTGGGAGGCTGCTGGGCCATGGGGGCACCTGGGAGCTATGGAAGGGCCCCCCCAGCCTCCCCCTGCCCCTGGCCCAGTGGGTAACGCTCTGCTCTGCTGCCCTGCCCACAGTACAATTTGAGAGCCCCGACTGGGAGCCCAAGGAGCGCCGGCATCCCCCACGGACCCTGGCAGGCAGTGCCAAGCCCAGCCGGTCGCAGAGCCCGGAGCGCAGCCCCCCCATGGCTGAGCGTGTGGACCCCTCGCTCCCGCTGGAGAAGCAGACGTAAGTCCTGGGCACCTGGCCCAGCCATGTGAGGGTGGTGAGAGCCAGATGCCACGGTGACAGACCCCTCCTGGGGGGAGCCCTGCCAGGGGACCTGAGGCTGTGCCCAGCCTGGGGCAGTCAGGCCCCCGGGGGTTGTGAGATTGGGGTGGAAATCATGGGATCAAAATGGGGGAGACAGGTCCTTCTAACCGCTGCCGGGTGCCCCCAGCCCATGATGCCCCCAGCTCGTACCCTCTAGCTCAAGGCTCTGACCATCCCCTGCCAGATTCCTCAGCTAATCCTATGCCTCCAGCAGCTGGGGCTTTGAGGGAAGCCCCCGAGGTGGCAGGGCTCCCTTGGATGTCCTCTGCCCCTGAAGTGCCCCTCTCGCCCGGGCCAGGTGGTACCACGGCTCCATCAGCCGGGCGGACGCTGAGAACCTGCTCACGCTCTGCAAGGAAGGCAGCTACCTGGTGCGTAACAGCGAGACCAGCCACCACGACTACTCCCTGTCCCTCAGGTGAGATGCTCATTCCCCCCCAGTGCCAGACACAGCACCTCCCTGCCCTGGGTGCTCCCCCACGGGGTGGTGGCTTATTCAGCAGTCGCCCCCAGCCTGCCAGGGTGTGAGCTAGGGAGAAACCGAAACAGGGAGCTGGGGAATTGGGAACAGAACTCAGGAGTCCGCACTGGGGTTTTCGAAGGGTGTCCAGCTCCCCCCTGGGTCGGGCACTACCCCCCCCACCCAAGCCCCACCTGGCTCCCACTGCATAGGGATTCATGACCAGAGCTGCCCACTCCTGATTCCCACAGCCCTGCTCTAACCACTACCCCCCCCACCCCGGGGTTCCTCTCTGGGGATGGCAGAGCTGCCTGATTTAAGCAAATCCTCTGTGCAGTGACCTGCCACTGATACCAGAGAAAGGTGATGGAAGAGGGTTGGGCAGGGGATGGGGTTGTGTGTGCGTGTGTGTGTGCATGTGTGTGTGTGTGTGTGTGTGTGTGCATGCACGTGCACTGGGGCAGGACAGGGAGAAGGCAGCTTAATCTCCACTATCTGACAGGCCTGGGAGGAGATAAAGGCCGGGGCTGCTGTAGCTGACACAGCTCAGCGAGATCAAAGGCGGGTGGCTGAGCCTGGCATCACCTCTCAAAGGCGGTCAAAGCCCCGGAGGCCAGGGGGCGGGAGTCTGGGGGGGTGTTGGGGGAAGGGGAGCTGGGCTTGCTGCATTCCTGTCTCGCTCCCAGGCCCTGTGGCTGGACAGGCAGAGCTCCGCGGTGTGGCTGCGATGCCCAGTGCTAGGGCCATGCAGGGAGAAGGGATGTCTGGGCTGCCAAGGGGCCAAGGGTCTCATGTGGGGGCATTACACAAGGCAGGGGGCCCTGCTGGAGGCAGATGGGGTGTTACTAGAGCAAAATCCAGGACAGGTCCCGGCTGCTCTGCAGGGGGAATGGCAGCCCTATCATTGACCGTGGCTAGTCAGGTCCAGGGCCCCTGCTAGCACTGGTCCTGGTCAGCTGTGGGGTTCCCAGGGGACAGTCCCAGTCACTACACCAGGGGTCAGAGCCCGCAGTGCCTTCACAGAAACAGATGCCCCTGCCCCTGCCCCTTCCATGGTGTCAGGCCTGAAGCCCCCTCTCTCTAGTGCCTGGGACTGTCCCCCCTGCTGCCTACGTGTATGTGTGCAAATGCATGCGTGTGCATTTGTGCATAGGTTTGGAGAGAGCTGATCCGGTCTCAGACAGGGGGGTTGGACTAGATGACCTCTGGAGGTCCCTTCCAGTCCCGCTTCTCTATGATTCCATGATTCATGTGTGTGCATGTACGCATGTGTTTGCATGTGCATGCATGTGCGTGTGTGCATGCACTGCTCCAGCTCCTGGGTCTCCATGCTTACCCATCCAGGTGCTGCTGCAGGGTGAAGTCACAGCCCAGCAGCTCCACACCAGGGATGGGTGTCCGGACTCCTGGGTTCTGCTCTCAGTTCTGGGCAGGGGCACATCAGGACTCCTGGGTTCCCTTCTCCACAGTGGGAGGAGTTCCTGGCTAAGAGGTCAGCGCTGGGGATGGGAGGCATGAGGCCGGCCTGCCCCACAGGTGGGTCATTCAGCCACTGAGGTGCAGAGCTCAGAGATCCCGGGCAGAAGGAGAGGATCCCCCTTTCCCCAGAAGCTTTGCGTAGCCCCTCCCCTGCACACGGGTGCTGGTCCCCAGCTGCGCAGCCCCGTGACCTCCCCGCCTGGAACATCTGCTGCTCATTAGCGGAGGGCCCCGCATCAAAGCTGGGCCAGCGGGTGCTTTGTCGGTGCGGCTCCGCGCAACACGGAAGCACCCAGCATGAATATTTCATCAGGTTAATCGCAGCGGCACGCGGCAATCACAGGCAGCAGCCGGCCTTGCTCCTCCAGCGCTGGCTGCTGGAACCATCCTCCCCCTGCCCGGAGGGGCTGGGCCGGCTGCGTCTTGCATCTTAGACCTTGGCCCAGAAGAGCAGGGCATGGCCTGGCATGGGGTTCACAGCCTGCCAGTGCCATGCCTACCCATGCTGCAGTGACCCAGGCCTGGCCATGGCAGAGGCAGGGAGCTCCCCAGCTCCACCAGGGTTTCTCCTTGTCCCACCCCCTTGGCAGACCCAGCACGGAAGGGATTAAACCCAGCAGGGAGCCTCAGGACACCTGGGTTCTGCACCTATAACTGAGCCAGTCGCTTCCCCTCTTCTGGGCTAATCTCACTGCCCAGGGAGGCCAGACACAGTCTTCAGTGAGGCTAAATGTTAAAGATTTGTATGCCAAAAGCTAGAGGACCTAGAAGAGTCCCCACTCTGTGTGAGCGGTGTAGGGTCTAGGACATGCGGGTCTGCTTGCCTAGCTGTATCACTGGGCTGGGGGGGTCTTTGCTCACCCCCTGCACCCAGCTCACGGTGCATCGCCTCACTCTGTCCCCAGGAGCAGCCAGGGCTTCATGCACATGAAGTTCACGCGGACACGGGAGAACCGCTTCGTGCTGGGGCAGAACAGCGCACCCTTCGCCAGTGTGCCCGAGCTCGTGCACCACTACACCACGCAGGAGCTGCCCGTCCGGGGTGCCGAGCACCTCTCGCTGCTGTACCCCGTCTCTGTGCAGACGCTGTGACACCGGCGCCGGACGCTTGCTGCTCCCTGCAACTACTCGGCCTGTCCAAGGGGCTCCACCCCAGTCCTGCAGCTCCTGGCAAGGGGCCTCCTGCCACCACGCAGCTCTACCCTGGTCACGTCCCTCCCTCCCCAGCCCCCTGCTCCAGCCTGGGAAGGGACCCACTGCTGTGCCCCCTGGGAAGGGATCTGCTTGAGGTTGCCTGCACCCGGGAGGTCCGGCCTCAAGGTTTTCAGTCACAGCTGCTGTCCCGTTGCCCTTCTTGCTCTGGTTGTCTCCCTGCTCCCCTGCAGCCTAGCCCCAAGTCCAGCTGGCCCCACCGTGTGACAGTCCCCTCTGCATTGCCTTAGTGAGGCTGCACCCCCCTGCCCTGGGAGAACTTTATCCCACCAGAGCCCCCTCCTTCGTCCCGCACCAGGTGGGTCCAACCCTGGGGTCCCAGGAGCTCTGGGTGTCCCTCCCAAACAGGCCCCATGTCCTGTCCCATGGTTCTTCCCCCCCATCCTGGGAAGGCTTGGAGCACAATGACACACAGAGCCTGGGGGACCCTATAACTGCCCCCGCCTCCAGCCAGCCAGCCCCACCCCTGCGTGTGCACGGGTTTGCCTCCCATGCCCATCCCACCGTGTGTCCTCTGTGCTGGTGCCCCCCCATCCCCACCCCACCACTGCGCCCATTAAACACCAGCCGGCCCCGCACCCATCTGTGACTCTGCCTCTGCCCACCTGAGCCTCTGGGGGCCTCGCCTGAGCCCAGCGGCTGGACATGCCAGCTCCCCTGGACGAGAAGAGCCCGCATGGACCCGGAGCCAGCACCGTTGCGCAGGTGATTCCAGCACCCCAGCCCCTATCGGCTTATTTGGGGTGGGGCTGAATTCGGCCCAGCACTGCCAGGCCCCCAGCCCCTGGATTTGAATGGACAGCCTTGTGGGGAAGGACATCACAGCGGAGAACCAGGAGCTGCAAGAAGGTCCAGGGGGGACACGTGGCCGCGGGGGGCCCTGCGGGTGTGGGGTGCAGGGCAGAGGGGTCAGCAGTGAGGGTGGGGGGGGGACATGGCGTGTATGGGAGAGGGGGCTGAGGCCCTGCTGAGTCCATCTTTGATGCCAGGCCCCGAGAGCCTTCACCAGCACCCCCCCCATCTGCAGGGGCCTGGGGGGAGCAGGCAGGCGGGGAGCGATCGTGTCACAGCCTCTCCTCTCCTGGGTGTCCAACACTGCTGCCTGTCCTGTCCGTCTGTCCTTGTCGACTCTGTCCCCGCGTCCTGGCGCCATCCCAGCCCGTCTCCTGGAGGACACCTGTTTCCATAGAAACGAGGGGGAGCCTGCCGGTTGCATCGCCTGTCATTTCAAGGTGAAAGATGCTCAGCGCAGAACAATGGCACCGGTGCCCTGGCGGCCTCCCTCCGCGGACAGCCTGGGCGCTGCCAGGATGCAGGGTGAGGCTTCATCTATGGTTGGCGCAGCCAGCCCAAGCACCGCCAGCATGGCACAAGTGGCCATGACCATGAGCTGGCAGTGCCCCAGTGCCACCAGCTTGAGCTGCCCCACTAAGTTCATGGGCAATGACTGGTCACAGTGATGCACTAGGGATCATGAAGGAATGGGTGTCCGCTCTTGAGGGGGATACTGGAGAGTGAGAGGAGCTGGTGTGTAAGCGAAGCAATGGCTTTGGGAGATGAGACACCTAGGTTCCCTTCTGTCCCCTGATGGCCCTGTGTGTCCTGTGTCTGTGCCTCAGTTTCCCCACTGGTAGCCCCAGCAGGGGATGAACTTGGCTCTCAGGAGCAGCCCCAGAGCCTGGCACCACCTCCAGGGGTTGAGGTCCTCAGGGGCTTTGGAGTGGTGTGAGGGGGAGCAGGGCTTTGATGCCCTTGGCAGCGCCCTCTGTCTCTCTCTGGATCAGACTGTTTGGCACTGCTTGTGTCCCCCTGTGCCTGAGCTCTGCCCTATTTGTGGGGGCATCCAGTCTCTGCCACTGGTGTCCTATATGGCCCTGGAGATGTTTCTTAGCCCGGCTCTTCCGTGGCATATCAGTGCCTGGACGCAAGGGGGGGGACTGGGCCCCAGCTTCCTCCCTGCTGAATGGCGCAGGCCAGAGCAGCACCAGGCACGGCTGTGTCGGGGCCAGGGGGAGCGATCGATTCCCTGCCACAGAGCCCTCCCCAGGCCCGGGGGCTGCTGAGTCAGCGGTTCCCGCTGTGCAGGAGGCTGGGAAGGGCAAAGGGGTGACTCGGGCAGGGTCGGGGTGGGGAGGAGCCGGTGTCTGCAGATCGGGGCATGGGCGGGGGGAGGCGCTGGGGGTAAGGAGAGCCCTGCCTGGGGGGCTCTGGGGTCCTAGGGCACAGAGAAACAGCTTCCTCCACCCAGCTGCTGAGAGCTGGGTTGCACCTGAGCTAGGCTGGGACCAGGCCCTGCCAGCCTTGCCCCCTCAGGAGATGGGGCCCACCGAGACCAGGGGCTGCAGGGCAGAGAGGGGGGCTCAGGGCTGCAGCCGTGGCCATGGGTCTGCCTTGCACATGGGACCCAGGCCAGGGGGGCGTGCCTCTGTCTGTGCAGCTGTGGCTCTGGGATCAGGATCACGGGGCCGTGGCTCCGGGAGCCCAGGGTGCCAGGTGGGGGTGCTCAGCAGAGCTGATCCATCCAGGCTGGAAGCTGCCTCTCCTGCCATCCCTGGCTACCTGCCCCGATGGTGATCACGGCAACCCAGCCCCAGTCCCTGCTGGCCGGACACCTCTGGGCAGCCCTGACGCCATGGGGGGAGCCCTGTGCTAGCTAATGGGAGCAGAAAGGCAGTCAGAAGGCATTAGAGCGAGCAGCGGGTATTTTTAGCTGGGGCGTGGGGTGGGGAGGGGGGCTGCAGCCTGATCCATTATTAATCAGACACGCACTGGCACTTCCCGGGGCTGAATTATTGATGGGCTCCGGGGTTTATCTGTCGGTAACAATTAGCCGGCCCCTGCTCGGCGCGCACGGGAAGCTCCTCTTGATGCTGCCCTTTGCTCTTGCGCTCCCCTCAATCTCCACCCTCCTTCCCTTCCGGAGGATTTCCACCCCCATATCGACCTCCTCTCCCCGGTGAGAGGCAGGGCTGGGGCAGAACCGGCTACAGAGCCTTGCCAGAGGGAAGTGGGGAAACTGAGGCACGCTGCATTCAAGTGATGCAGCCAAGGGCAGCTGGTAATGCAGTGGCAGAGCTCAGGAGAAGCCAGGTGTCGTGATTTGCCCCCAGCACCCATAGGCAGCATGGCAGGGATCAGACAGGCTGTGCTGCCCAGTCAGCGGCTGTGGCCCAGCTGCATGCTCGGAGCCAGCTGCTGGGGCCTGGTGGGCAGCAGACCCCCCCACCCCGCCTCGTGCAGGGGGTGTCGGGACAGGCGGGGGGACACAGCAATGGGAGTCCCTGCAGGGCCTGCTCCCAGCTGGGCTGCTGGGGGCGAAGGCGAGGGGGGGTCCAACTGGATCCTGCTCCATCAGAGTGGCTGGCATGAGCCCCCTTCTTCCCACCCCAGCCGGTGCCCGTTGCTGGTGCCCACTCCTGGGGGGGTGCCCAGATCCATCACACAGAGACACGGCCCCTTCCCAACACGGAGAATGCCACATTATCCTTGCTGCCCCCCGCTCTCCCCTGCATAGAAACACCCCCCCCCCACCTCCCCCGAGGATGGGAACACTAACGAACAGCTGCTCTAATCAGAGCTGTCATCCGGGAGCCGGGCGGCAGAATTAAAAATCTCCAGCTCCTGACATTGATCTCATTTCTGATGTGGTGGTGCCGGGAGAGGGGGGCTGGCGGAGGCGGGGGAGCAACGACAGTGTCTCCAGTGGGCTGCCCTGAGACCCTGCCTGTCCCCCACACAGAGCAGAGGGGGGCAGCTGCTGGTGTGGACTGGGGATACTGGGGTGGGGATGGGCTGGAGGGTGCAAGGGAGCTCTTTGGGTCTCTCTCTGCCCTGCTGGTGCTCCCTGGGCTCCCCCATGCTGTGGGGCCTCGGAGGGACTGGAAGGGGGTGTGAGGAGGACCTCGGGGACAGGGGACATGGCGGGGGGATTGCCTGGTGCACTACCAGGGTGACGGTCTGCACAGAAATATGACGGAGGCAGGGGCAGAGCCTGTCTGGGGAAGGGCAGTGAGGAAGGGGCATGGAGAGCAAGGCTTCATGGCAGCGGGTCAGGGCAGGACCCCCAGTGCTGCTGCCAGCGGCGGGGCCAGGTGGTCCCAGACATGTGGGCCCAGAGACCCCCCCACCGTCAAGGAGGGGATGGCGAGGCCTCCGTGCCTGGTAGGCAAGGCCATGGCAGGAGCCGGGCAGGGGCAGGAGCCTCCGTCTTAGGGGACCGGAGCTATGACTGGCATCTCGATGTGGGAAGCAGGGGGATGTGGCAGCCAGGACCCGGGGTGGAGGGTGCCTGGGGGTGCCTGGGGGTCCCTGGAGGCCAAAGGGGTCAATCCAGCGCCCCGCTCAGCCCTGGCACGAGGGGCAGGGCCCTGGGTGGACCCCGCTGCCTGGGGCAGCCACCAGGGGGCAACAGAGAAGTGGAGGCACATCCCATCGCGGCTGCACGGCCCAGACCCTGCTCCCAACACCATGGCCACAGGCAGGCGGCTGCATTGTCTGGTCTGGCTCCATCTGCGTTGTTTCTCTCCTCCTTCCCCTGCCCCCCAGCTCCCCACAGCTCTGTGTCGCACAAGCTGGTAATGAAGTTTCCCAATTAATTACTGCCATTAGGAATCCAATTAGTGCATTGGAGCTGCTGGCAGGGGGGCAGTGGGGGAGGGGCGGGCGGGGAGGGGATTTGGGGTCAGCTGCACACGGTGTGGAGAGAGGCTCATTCACGTTTCTGCGCGGCGGGAGCTTGAGGGTTTCTGCTGCTTGGCCCCAGCCCTGCCCCTGCCCCTGCCAGGGCTGCCTGGGCTATCTGGGAGGCCGTGGCAAGGGCAAGAAGAAGAGGGCAGGGGGAGCTCTCTGCCCAGCCCTGGGGTTTACATCACATACGGTTG